CTGGGCTTGTGGCAGGTGTTTGGCCAATACCGATTCGCGTTGACCTGCACCTCAGAGTCGGAGCCCAGTCCTGGGCTGAGTGGAGTGCCAATGGGCCAATGTCTGGAATTCATGACTGGAGCAATTAGGGTGGGGTTTCCTTGGGAACCATGCCCAGGGCCAGGCTCACATTAGCTGCTAAGAGCTAAGAAGAAAGCAGTGATGTTGGTCTCAGGCCTGGCCGCACCTTGGGGGGTCTGGTTATCCCTCCAGGCCATTCATCCATTCTAGTAACAACTTGGGCTGAGAGAGCAGTAAAGGTGCTGGCTTTTCCTTTAGATTTGGGAACAGGGAGCCAATTTAACTGACTCTCTAGAAGTCCCTGGAAAATGAATACATCCCTGCCGTCCAAAAGGTTACACGCTCTCGATGATTTTTATCAATTATTTCTCATGGCCCCCTGATTAGAGGCAGGGTGAGATGTTTGGTTCAAGGAAGAAGTGGCAGCCAGAAAGACCTTTCCACTTTGCAGAGGGGGAGACACTTTGCTAAGGCCAGAGAAAAGGAGAAATTAGCAGAGAGACTAGATCCAGGAGTCTTGACTCCCAGTTTGACATCAAAACCCCCTCAGTTTTCAACCCACACGTATGTGCTATTTCTGCCCCCTTGTCGAGGCAGATAGTCATTTTTCTGCCCATCTCTTGACCCCTCCCTTACTCCTCCCTCTTGGCATTTGGCAGGCCCAGGCAGCTATTCCAGGAACTGGAAGCCAAGCACAACAGGTGCTCAGGAGATCATCATGATCAGCCCAGACCCCAGGCCCTCCCCTGGCTTGGCCTGGTGGGCCGAGAGCTACGAGGCCAAGTGTGAGCGTCGGCAGGAGACCCGTGAAAGCCGTCGCTGCCGTCCCAATGTGACCACTTGCCGCCAGGTAGGGAAGGTGCTGAGGACCCAGCAAAAAGAACATCTCCAGAGAGCCCGACAGCAGCAGTTCTTCAGGAGAAGGAACCTGGAGGTGGAGGAGGAGGGCAAAGCACGGAGCTCCCGGGCCCGGGAGCAACGTTTCTCCAGGAGGCCAGGCCAGGCGACTGAACTCAGGAAGCCTCTGTCTTGGGCCAACAGGATCCCTTCCCCCAGACAACAGGTGGGCCGTGTCGAGGGATACACTGCTTTCAGGGGAGGGGGTGTCAAGGGGGTAAGTGGGTTCAAGGTCACTAAAAAGTTATTTGAATTGAGTCCCTTCTTTCTCAGTCATATAGCAAAGTCTCCCTTTAGCCACTTGCTCATTCAGAGATTTTTGATGTTGTGTTTTTTGTTTGTTTATTTAGCTACTTTTTTGTTTTACACTTGCCTCATAGGAGAAAAAATAATAATTTTAAAAACGATTCCATAGCTAATTCCTAATACCAGTTTAACTTTAGGCAAAATATACGTATCTTCTACAGCATTCTTTCATCCATCATTTTATTGTATGCCAGGTACACGGGCCAATCTTCTTAATGCCCCCTTGACACACACACACACTTCTCTCCTCTATCCTGCTGTGAGGTGGGTGTCTTCTCTCTTTCTCATTAGTGGAATGGGCCATTCCAATTCCACTAAATTTGCTCAGCTAAGGCCTCATCTGGTCCAGGAAGCCTTCTCTGGCTTCTTCACCTCTGCTCTCTGTGGTCCTTCTGAGGTTATAAATCCTCTAAGATTAAGTAATCTTAGAGTGCCCATTAACCTGGCCTGGGAAGAAGCAGTGTTGGCAAAAACCAGGGTAAGTTAAAATGACCTCAGCCAGCAAACTACTGTGTCTTCACATCCGTGTTGTGAGCATGCCGACACTCCCTGCAAATGCCCGGCATCGTGACCCACTCAGGGAAGGTGCTGGGTCAGGGCTTAACTATGAGATCTGCTGTCCACAACAGGAGGTGCTGTTCAGAAAAATGATCCTTGAGCCCAACTGTAAGATAAAACCAACTGTGTACTTTCTAAGGCAAGAAGGTTGCTGAATGCTTTTGTTGAAAAAAAAAAAAATTAAGGAGAAAAAGATTAAGAAACACAATTAACTAAAGAACTCCACCTGAGCCTATCAACTAAGGTTTTATTGAGATTGAGTCTGTCCCCATGCTTAGATTCCACAAGTATTTCTTATCCTTTTAGTTTTATAAGCCTAGAATTTTTGAGTGTGTAAAAAGAATATATTAAAAGAACAGACTAAATTGTGCCAACTACTACTACACCCCTCCCTACAACTCCCTATTTTACCTTCTCTTCATACATGCCTCAACGATATTCCAGCTATTACTAGGAAGAAGGAAGCCATCTCTAGAATATGAAAAAGACTTTACAGATCATCCACTCCAAACTCATTACACTGAGAGGAGACCAAGACCCGGAAAAGGCAGGCTCTAATCCCTGGTCCCCTCGCTCCCCACTCAGACCAGTTCTCTTCCCGTATCACCATGCTGGCTGTGGAAGTGGCTGAGACCAAACAAGATAGATCAGGGATTCTAGAGAGTGTACCTGGAGACAAGCCCTGCTCCTGATTTGCCTGGCCTGAGAAGGAGCATTCCTGAAAGGGAGGGCAAGAGCAAATAACCTTGTAGCTTTGAAGGCTTGAAGGGATTGCTTCAGTTTTCTAGACCTGAAACTTGGTCATTGGTTCATCTTTCTGCAATCAGCTGGAGAATCCCATTCTAAGAGGCTCGAGGTTTCCAGCATCCCACACTTGCTTTCCAGGTGTCAGGGACCAGCTCTGAGGCCTTTCCAACCCAGCATCACCCTCTCTTATGCATCTGGAGGGATCTGGCTGATCACCCCCCGTCTCAGGCCGGGGGCCTCCCACCACGGGACTTTCCCATCAAGAAGCCACCCAAACATCACCGTGGTAAGAGCAGAGTCTCCCTCCTTCACTGGGGCTTGCAGAGAATCCTGCCTCGTCAGTCCCAGAGCACTGGCAGTGGAGAGTCCCCATCCCTCCCCACTTCCCCCACGTCTTCCCCCATGAGTTCTGAATCACTTTATCTCTCAGGGACTCAGACAAAGGAAAGAGCAGTGCAGCCAACAACCAAGAATGATGCCAGTCAGCAAACCAAGTGAGTACCTTTCATGCTCCTGACTCCAACTCTCTGGCATCCCGCCCACTCCTCTCTTCTAAGCTTTTACCTGAATACCCTCACCTAGTACTTAGAGAGGGTATACGATGAATTTCCACGTCCACCTTAATTAAGAGGAAGGCCTTCCTCACCCATTTGGCTCTTCAGAAGAGATTAGAGAAGGAACCAACCCACTGCCTCCCAATGGTGCTACTTTCTTTGATCCATTGTCATTTTTGTTTTATTTCCTCTCTTCCCAGTTGTGGAGTTGCAGTTCTAGACAAGGTAAGAAAATCCTCACCTTGGAAAGGTTGAATTAAATGGTATCTAAGCTCCTCTAAGACCTAACATTTGGGAATTCCATTATAAACTCAGCTGGGATAGAGGGACACCTTCTCCCTGGATGGGCGTACACATGCGGGGCTGAAGGGACTCTCTCTGAACCAAGAAAGAAAGTTTACTCTACATAAGCCAACTCTGGCTCTGGTTCCATGTCCTGGGACTTTAGGAGAACTAGATCTTCTTGGATACCTTTTTTCTTTCTCTCTAGGAAATCATCCAGCTCTCAGAGTACCTCAAAGTAAGTAACATCTGAACTGTCTGTCCCCTCAGCTCCTCCTTCCATCTACTCCCTCCTCCTCTAAGTGAATCTTACCCTCTTGTGTTTTGCCCCCCGCCAGGAGGCCCTACAAAGGGAGCTGGTTCTAAAACAGAAAATGGTGGTTCTCCAAGACCTACTGTCCACCTTGATTCGGGCCTCTGACAGCTCTTGGAAGGTAATGGAAATGAAATCGTAGTCTGAACAAAGCTCACGGGCTTTTAAGTGTGTCCATCTCATTCTTCTTTCCATACCATCCCAGCAAGAGGAGAGGTTTTCTCCACACTGAAGGGACAGTACTGAGACCTAGAGGTCAAACAGGTGACAATAAACATATGGGAGGGCTCTGCTAAATCCGGGGTCATCCCACACTTGCCTTCCAGGTGTCAGGGACCAGCTCTAAAGCCCAGAACCAAAAAGGGCAAGAATTCCCATTTTTTAATTTGTTAGAAGAAAAGAAGATCCTAGTATATCTGGTACATTTAACATTACTGAGTGTGGTAAATGTCAACTATTTCTGTATGAATTCACAGCAACATTAACCCCAAGCCAGCACACACCTACTACTCAGCCCAGACATGAATGTCAGAGTGCGAAGGGGCCTTGGAGAGCTAGTCTAACTTTCTCCTTTTGACAATGAGAAAACTAAGTGTCAGAGAAGTCAAGTGACTTACTCAAAATCACACTGATGGTCAGAGGCAGAACTGAAACTAAAATTCAGACCTCCTGATTTTAGTCCATTTATTCAGCAAATATTCATAGATCATATTCTCTGTACCAAGCACTGGAAATAATGAGATTAATTAGACAAGGTTCCTGCTTTTAGAGAGTTTGTGGTTTTGTCAGGGAGACAGATGCCTAAACAATGCAGAGATTTAAGAAATAAATGTTTTCAGGATTTAGTACTATACAAGAAGGAATGAATAACTCTAGAGAATATGAGAACCAGGGAAATATTTACAGTTATATAAGTATTTTCCAGGCACATGTGGAAGAAGGTACTATACTCTAGGCAGAGCGTACAGCACAGGCAAAGACCAAGAGACACAATATTGTCTTGTGCAATGAGTCACTTTTTAATCTCAGAACCCCTTTGTACTCTTTAAAAACTTTCTTGAAACCCCCCAAAATTTTTTATATTTACCATATCAGAATTTACCATATTAGAAATTAAAACAGGACTCTTAATATATTTAATCTTAATTAATATGTAATCTTAAGTTTAATACGAATATATTAATTTAAAAATCACAATAGTAAATCCCTTACGTTAACCTGAATTCTATAATTTTACAAACAATAAGTATATTTTTCAAAAAATAGTGAGAGGAGTAATACTGCTTTAAACATATGCAGATCTTTTCAATGTCTGGTTGAATGGAAAACGGCCATGGTCAATGTGCTGCGATACTCCATTTTTGGTTGAAGCATATGAAGAAAACTTGGTTTCATTCAGATCTGTAGTTGGAAAAGGGAAGACCTCCCTTGCAAAGGTCTCGTGGGTTCCCACATTGAAGGACCCCACACTGAAACCCCTAGACTAGTGCGTTCAGGGAGCTGCAGACATTTGGCACCACCAGAGCATAAAGCACCAGGTGCAAAGAGAGAACGCACAACCTCACGGGCCTCAGTGAACAGCTAACCTGCCACATAGACGGCTTGTGCTTAGACAGAGAAACGTAAGGGGGTGGAACAAAACTGAGACGTTGCAGTGATGTAAAACGCTTCCCAAGCTCGGCCCTTCCTCCTCACATCTGTCATTGTACCTGGGTTTAGGCATCTATGTTCGAAGTTCCTGATTTAAGGAAGTCATTTCCATCAGTAGACCAGGAGCTTGGGGCAGACAGCTGTGCATGCCAGGTGGCTTCCAGTGCTGAACTAAATCGAGATCATCTAACTCCTTTATTCAACAGACATTTGATAAGTTCCCACTACATGCTGGGCTCTGTGTTACAAGGGAAAAAAAGACTAGAGTCCTTACTCCTGAAAAGCTCACGCTCCAGCCAGGAAGAGAGAAACATGTAATAGACAATCTAATACAGCATGATAAAGCTACAACAGCAGTGTCTACAAAGTGACACAGGCTAAAGAGAAGACAGCTATTATTCTGCCCGAGGTGTAATAGGGTAGGCTCTACGAGACAGACACCATTTCAGCTGGGTCATGAAGGATGAGTAGGAGTTTACCAGGACAGAAGTGGGAAGGATGATGGGGAAGAAAAAGCAGAAAGGTAAAGAAACCAGAATGATGACAGGTGTAGGTATGACAAAGCACTGCATGTAGCAGAGTGTGGCTGAAATTAAGGGATCACGTCAGGAGAGTTCCAAAGACCAGAAATGGCCTAACAGGTCTTTAGAATTATGAGGTTTAAACTTTTTCTGTTTAACAGGGTATTTCAAACCTAAATAATGTATGGACTCCATTTTAGAGGAAAAACACAGATATCTCAGATCCATGAGATTTTGTATTACACCCGGTTTGAGAAACACTGCTATAGAGGATAAGCAGGGTAGCAACGGAACTATGCTTCATGTGGGTTTAAAGTCCTACAATGTCTGGCCCATCCTTAGAAGGAACTCAATTTATAGCTCTGGAACTGAATGGAAAGTGAATGATGAGATCTGCTTTAAAAGGTTCTCTGATAACAATGAGGACCCTAGCTCTGGGGCGTAGGGGTGGGGGGTGAAACTCTTATATCTCAGGTAAGACACAATCGGAGCGTGAATGACAGCAAGCCGGGTGGGAATGGGAAGGGGAGTTAAGAGACAGGTAGACCAAGAGGGGCAGTTTCACTCCATACTCCAGCAGAGGTTCCTCCGCTGTGGTTTTCTCTCTCCCTTCTTCCCATCCCTCCCACTACTCACCCTTCTCTTCCTCCTCCCTACCAACGCCCCAGCTTCCTGTTTTTAAGAAAAATGGTCTCATACTTTTCAGTTAATAGCTTTTGCTTCCCTCAAAACAAGACAATTCAACCTTCTACCTCCCACGGAAGCCTCAACTTCAAAGAAAGGACAGCCCCAGTTTGTGATACTTGGGGAAAAAAACTGGGAGAATGTGGTCAGAATAGGAACTCTGGCATTCGGCCCAGGTCAGGCGTTTATTTTTCCCATTTGGCATCCTTGATATGAATCTCGAATTTCACATGCAGAAAAGCTCAGTGCAAACTGTCAGAACCGCCAGGATCGGCTCCCACCATCGCCTCCACCTCCAAGCTGACTCTGGGCCTTTTGGATGCAATAGACCCCAGGGCACTACTGAGACTCCAACCTTCTGAACAGAAACGGTTCGGGCGGGAGAGAAAGTGAGCTCTCAGCACTGGGCAATACAAAAACAGGAGCAGGACACAAGTGGGTTTTTAAGTTCCGCAAAGTGGAAATGAGATCTTGAGATGACAATGCAGCAGGGGATTGGCTGCAAGTCCTAAGCCACCTCTGCTAGAACAGAAACGAGCTGTGTGGGTCGGCTGTGTGGTGAGCTAGCTGCTTGTGCTTCTGGAGAACAAACAGATCAGAGGCAGGGGAAAGCCACGCAGAAGCAGGAGCTGAAGCCCTCAGACCGGCACCAGGTGTGTATGGCCTCCGCCTTGCTCCCTTTTCCAAATAGGGGTACTGTATCCCCTGAGCCCTGGGCTCCAGCGGTGCAATTGCTCAAAAAAGTCCACCATAGGACTGTAAAAGGTGCTTCACCCCACATACAGTACTACTGGGCTTCACGTGGGGCAAGTTGGGGCTCAGACCAGGAAACTAAACGCCCCATTTGCAACAATTTGGCTGCAACTGTCCTGCCTGCCTTGGGGAGTCTGGGAAATCGGAGCTGTGGACAAGAGATATTTTAAAACCCCAGACTTGGGTGGCCCTTCATCCCACTGAAAGGGCTATCCTAAATTGTCTTCTACTGCAACATGAATGGAAAAGTAATCTAGGGTGCGGCTAAAATACAAAAACAGTTGGATGAGGCAAATATCAAATTAAAACCACAGTTATGGGAGGAGGAGAGAGGAATTACCCAAAAGGGGTAGGAGACTGGGAGAAATGTAAGAACTTTGCTTCAGGCTGGTTGTTTTCTTCCAAAACTATAGCAAGATAAACCTTAAACTCTGTGGGTTTGACTGCAATCTGCACGGTGAGTCCGGTGAGTCCGAAGGAGATCTAAAGCAGGAGAGTGGGTGCCAAGGGGTCGGATTTCAGGGTCTGTGCGTTGACAATAGACAGGCCACTCGGGGGGAATGCAGCCCTGTAGCAGTTACTCCAAAGCCCAGGACAGGGGAAGACTTTGTCCATCTCTTTCATCTGCCCCCAAACCCTGTGGTTATCATACAGGCCAAATTCCCGACTCCCGGCTCTCATGCGAGACGTTAGGAAAAACATTAATAGGAGGAGACACTTGGAAAAATTATTTTTGGCAAAGCCTTTTGCTTTTGCGAGGCCCAGCTGAGTAACACAGGAAGCAGAAAGGGTGGGGGCGCCCCCTGGCTCCCGTGGTTAGAAGAATCAGCCAAACAAGAGCAAAACAGGAGCTGTAAGATACCACTTCCTGCCTGGCCCAGGTGCCCTGAAACGCAGAGGGGCACAGACCTCAAAACAGAGTTCCTTCCTCTGCCCCAGGCCGTTACAGACCGGAACTGTTGTGAGGGCTGGAAACATCCAAGCTGCTTGACTGAGAAGAGCCCTGGAGCCTCAGGCCTGAGGAAAGATACAATTTCTAGACCTCAAGAGTGTCCTACAGGGAGGGCCTGGCTGGAAAAAGCCAGAAAAAAGGATATGAAAATCGGTTACTCCTAAAGAGACCCAAGGCCTTTTCTCTAGGAAACTAGCTCTCGAAAGCACCCTCCCCTCCCCACACTCAGTCATATACACGACCATAAACCAAACTCAGGGCTGGAAAAACAAAAGCCCAAACTGAGAGAAAGGGACAAGTCTATAGGTGGAGGGCAGAACAAAGCAGCGAGGAAGTTAGCTATTCAGCTGAAATACTGAAAAATGGAGAAAAGGTATCTGCTGGCTCTTCTCCACCTTCAGCCTTGAGATTAGCATCCCTCCTGGAATGTCCACGATGGCATGTGACAGACCCGGCTTATGAAGAAATAGAATCTGGCTTTCTGGAAAGCTCTCTAACCACACACCCTACATTAATCTCTCTCCTCTATTTCTTGCTTTCTTAAAGAATTTCTCATTTTGAGTCGTGTGTGCGTGTGAGTGTGTGTCAGGGAAGAGAGTATATTAGTTTGCTAGGACTGCCAAAGAAAATACCAAAGACTAGGTGGCTTAACCAACAGAAGTTTATTTTCTCACAGTTCTGGAGGCTACAAGTCTGAGATCAAGGTGTCGACAGGGTCGGCTTTTTCTAAGGCCTCTCTCCTTGGCTTGCAGGTGGCTGCCTTTCCCTGGGTCTTCACATGGTCTTTCCTCTCTCTGTGTACCCTGATGTCCTAATCTCCTTTTCCCATGAGGACACCAGTCACACTGGAACGGGGCCAACGCCAATTACCTCATTTTAACTTAATTACCTCTTTAGAGACCCTGTCTCCAAATAGTCACATTCTGCGGTGCTGGTGGGGGACACAACAGTGGGTAAAGGAGAGAATGTATATTCCCCCTGGGAGGAGAGACCCTGTTAGCCTTACTGGTCTATATTTTAGAGGTAAAGGTCCATGTATAAGACTGAGAGAAGGTGAGGAGTACAGAAGAGCCTAGACAGACAGGGGAGAGAGGTAATGGGGGGTTACGGGAAACGTTCCTTCAACTGGATCTCTGCTGTGATACCCTGAGCCATTTCATAGAGAAGCTCAAGGTACAGAGAGGACTTTGGAGGCCAGTCTGATTCTTCCTTCTCCTATTCCAGAAAAAAAAGACAAGAGCCTCTTCTACACAAACATCCTTTGTCATCTTTCTTCCTCCCTACCTCTTAAAAGAGTTAAGTTCTCCAAACATTGAGCACAGATCATGTTCTAGGCAGTAGGCTGGGAATACCAAACAAAACATTTTGTACACTATATTTTGGCCCAAACTCATTAACTCATCCCATTTGTTCCAGGGACAGCTTAATGAAGACAAACTGAAGGGCAAACTGAGATCCTTAGAAAACCAGCTATTCACCTGTACCCAGGTAAGCACTCTGGAGGACCCTTCCAGGCCAGGAATCTAGAATTAAAGAATGCTTGAACCTCAATCTTTCTCTGTAGAAATGCTCCCTGATAGAGATCGACGCACCTACTCCTAACTACCCAGTTCTGGCTTTGCCATTTTCACCTTGATCCCCAATTCACCATATGTCCATACCCTGTCTCCGTCCTCCTCTCCCTTTCTCCCACTGTCCTTCCCTTTGTATCCTGGGAGGAAATCCCAGCACCAAGCACTTAGCCAGCTCCAGGGAACCTTGAGAATACCTGGAATTGTAGGGAGGGACCCTTGGTAAAGATTCACACCACCCAGATAGACCTGCACAGGTCCCAGCCTTTGAATGGATAAGCTGGATGTTATAATGAAATTTTGCAAAATGGTTTTCATTCCATGGGCAACTTTTATCTCATAGCAATCCCAGGGAGAAAGTAAAAAATTGCGACTCTTGGCTTTCCTGTGACATTGTTATCTCTCTCGATTGGCCTGATCTTGGACTACAAAAGACAGAAAGAAATCAGCTTTCACACTTGAGAAGCGATGTGTTTCTGATAGGTGAGGAGATGTCACATAGGAGGAGGCAGGCAGACTGCTTCCATTCGAGTTAGGGAGATGAGGCAGACCTGGCCACACAGGTGGAGCCTTGCAGGAGAACTGAGATTACATAGTCTATAGATTTGCCGATCTACGAGTTTTGTTTTTTCGGTATGACCTCCTTTGTCAGATTCTTATGAACTAAATGATGCCCACCACGCTCATAAGAGATTGACATGTAATCCAGAATGCCAACACATTCATTTTCAATGGGGAATAAATGTGGCCAGTGACCAGGCCAGTTAAGTCCAATAACTGAGACATACCCATGTTCGACCTCAACTAATAATTCCTGGATATGCTTTCTAATGAAAATTCCAAGAAATAAGGCCCATTCACATTTAAGTCCAAATTTTCAGATGATTCCCAAGCTAAATGGAAACGACTTCACACTGATCCTTAAATCTGCATTATCTAGGCTACTGCTTACCCAGTAAAAGCTGTCTGCCTTCCTCAAAATCATAAGGGCATAAAAATGAAAAAGGCATAGGAAGGTTAAGATCCCCCAGTGAATTTACAAAATTACTCTTTTCTTGACCCTGAGCCAGGAGGAATTTTTAAAATGTAAATGTATTAATTTTAAAACAATAATTGAGTTTACTAGGGATTGCTCTGATCCCTGAAGCTACAAAAATTAAAAAACAAAAAACAAACAAAAAACATGCTCCTTGCCCCTGTCCTGAAGGGGTTTACAGTCCCATAAGGCAGACAGGTGAGTCCACAGACTGTAAAGATAGACATGCAGGGGATACTATGTGAACACTAAGAAAAGCTACCTAATCTGTAATGAGTTGGGGGATGGAGATGGTTAGTCAAGATTTATCAGAACTTACATGATTCTTGGGCTGAATCATGAGCGTGAATAGAAGTCAATCAGGTGAAAAGCGTGGGTAAGCATGCTCTAGGCAGAAGCAGCCATATGGGAAAATGCAAAGGCCATAAAGCAAAGTGCTTAGAGAATCTGCAAGCAGTTCGGCTTGGGTAGAGGCAATGAAAGTCTGGGAATGAAAGTCTGGGCTTGTAAGTAGGAGCCATGCAAGGAGTTTAGACCTAATCCTGAGGATTCTGAGAAGCCACTGAGATTTAAGCAGGTCAGGACAGGATCGGATTTGCATTTTAGAACCCTGCAGCTGCAGGACTAAAAGAATTTGACGGGAGGCAAGTCTTGAAGATAAGGAGACGATTACATTAATCCATCTAATAGTATTATTAGAGCCTGAACTAAGGACAGGGCAGTAGAGACAGAGAGGAGATAGGTGTGAACAGGAAGGGTTGACTGGACAAGGGTCAATGCCCAGCTGCTTACTGGGAGAAAGTGAGAGAAATCAAGATGACTCTTTGGTTAGAGCTTGGGAGACTGGGTGGGTGAGGACGCTGGTCACTGAGATGGGGGAAGCACTGAGACAGGGGAAGCCCGGAGGAGGGAGCAGTTTAGAAAGATGATTTCTCTTTGGAAATGTTGGGTTTCAAGTGCCTAGGGGACAATTCCCAGCATGTCAAGGGCACTGTTTATTATCCCTACTCACCCCTCACATCACCTGAGGGACTCTCCCTGCCCACCTCCAGCTTGAAAACAAAGCTCCACCAGATTACTGGTGTCTCTGCCCTGTGGGCAAGGACCAAATTCTTTTCATTTCTGTATCCCAGCTCAGGATTTGGCATACACCTCAATGTGTGTTTGTTGAATTGCATCAAATTTACAGAAATATTCCCCTTGGGGAATGAAAAAGGTGCTAATGGAGATGGAAGATCAGAAAAACAGCTATGAACAGAAGGCCAAGGAGTCACTGCAGAAAGTGCTGGAGGAGAAAATGAGCGCAGAGCAGCAGCTGCAGAGCACGCAGGTGTGGGAGCGCTGCGCGGTGCTCGGGACTGGAGACGGGGGCCTCTGGGAGACCCCCAAGGTACCACCCTCTTCCTTGATCTCCCTCAGAGGTCCCTGGCTCTGGCTGAGCAGAAGTGTGAAGAGTGGAGGAGCCAGTACGAGGCGCTGAAGGAGGACTGGAGGACCCTGGGGACCCAGCACCAAGAGCTGGAAAGCCAACTCCACGTGCTTCAGTCCAAACTACAGGTACCAGGCCCTGAGGGAGGGGAAGTGGGAGGAAGAGACAGAGTTTAGGGGAAGGGGGGTTGGTGACAACCGTGATAAGAGAAGCTGCTGGTGGGTTGCGGGCCCCAAAGGCACCTGAGAGCATCCGGCTTTCAGTTCCTCGTTCACTGCCTGCTTTGTACCAGACTCACTGTTCTGGCTCTGAAATCTAATTTTGATTGAGCGAGGACATCTGCACTGCTCAGGCAAACGAACTAAGTGTACACTGGAATGACACCATCCAAACGCGAAGGGCTGGAACATTCATCAGCCTACGGTCATATCCCAGCCCACTCTCTGCGCCCTCTCCCAGGAGAGCCTCCAGTTCAGAAACGCCCACTCCAGCACAGAACGAATGTCATCAATTTACTTAAGGGATGAATACTAACACAACCTACCACGTCTTTGGCAGTATCAAGGGTTCCATCATTTCCAATCTGCATTACCTGGGAGAAATTAACAACCCTCCTAAACCTCAGTTTCCTCATCTCTAAAATGAGGATAACAGTAGCTATATCATAGGATTGCGGCAAGGCGAGTGGTATTATCCATGCAAAGCCTTTAGCACAATGTCCTGCACATATGAGCCCTCAATAAATAATAGCTATTACTGTTCGTAGATTGTACTTACTTGGTTTGGAATTTTGAAGAACCACCTCAAAAGTTTATTTTACTGAAGCAGGGAACAAATACAGTTTGGTAAGAGACAAGGTGTCTCATCCAAGGAGTGAACCCAGCTGGCCCTGCATTGCACCCGCATCTCCATCTTTGTTGTTCTCTTCCTCCATCACCTACGAGGAAACTCTTATAAAGGTCTTTTTCTTTTTAACCTTAATTCTTTGTGAAAATGACCCTACCAAAAAAAATGATAGTACTAGAAGTTTAGTGAAGACATCTAGAAAAGTGATGATTTGGTATTCCTTAATTTGGGCATTTACCCAAATGAGTCCCTTATGAATATCAAAAAAAATAAAATAAATCTAATGCAGTTTGTTATGCGTGAGGAAAAGAGAAAAGGGAAGTATTAAAAAAGAATAATAAAACTTCCCTACTTTTGCATTTCCCTAATAGTCTCTATCTGTAAAATTCTCCAATTTTCTACAACTCTCCTCTTCCGTGGGATCTGCCCCAGCCTCCACCCTAGCACTGACCTGTTTCTGTGCCGGCCCCTCCTCCTCCTGCAGGGAGCAGACAGTAGAGACCTTCAGATGAACCAGGCTCTTCGACTTTTGGAGAACGAGCACCAGGAACTGCAGGCCAAGATTGAACACCTGCAGGGGGACAGAGACCTGTGTGGCTCAGATACCCAGCACTTACAAGGTACCCTTCTCCTCGGAGGCCTCTGGCTGAGTGAGTTCACAGAAAGGAAGCTGGGTGGAAAGACTTCAGTCTTTCATTTGTTTGGTTGGCTTTGAGATTTCATTTTACCTTGAGGGAAAGGCAGGGCTGTTTTACTTATCTAAGACTGAAAGTTAATTTCACAGCACTAGAGAATCAGCTTTCTTTTCCAGCCCATCCCTCAGCCAGATCACAGCTGCTCCCACATCCGTCAAATGTGTGAAGGCTGCATTCCTAATCTGAAAGAGAAAGGTCAGTTGAAACAGAAGGCATAGTGAAGGTTTCCTTCACAGCCTGTGTGTCAGCTGAGAAAGGACCAAATTGTGCGCAAACACAACACCTAACTCAACCTCACATTGTCGATGCACATAAAATCCATGGTACCTGGGTTCTGGTTTGCCTCTTCAGGACTGAGACAAGTAGAAGAAACAGCAACTACCACTTGACACAGAGGCCGTGACAAGAATAGTGCCCGTTACAAATTTCCATCCTCACATGTTGAGTTCATTAAGTCTTAGGCTCTTCTATTATGGTTTGCATTGTTTCGTTTTCAGATCAGCTAAAGAGGTCAGAGGAGGAGAAACTCACCCTGGAGACCAAAGTACAGCAGTTGCAGAGTAAGTTTCCTTTCCAGATTCTGAAGGTAGCACAGGGCTTGCAATGTGCCCGGTGCTCCTGCTCCACAAAAGGCATCGAGGGACTGGGGCCCAGTCTCTGGCATCTCCTCTACTCTGCACATTTTCAGACTCTCTTCTTGTGACGTGAGGTCATTTACATGGCTCTTCACAGGTTATCTCTCAGCCTCTGCCCTTTTCTTTCTTTTCTACTTTTCTCCTTCTGCGCCAGTGACAACCACCAGCATTTCCCCCAGAACTGCAGATTTTAAAAAGTGTTAGGTTTTTCTAAGGCATCTTATGTTTTCTAACTTATTACGTGCATGACTATGTCACATAGACCTGTCACTAAGAATGGTTCAGAAAATAAGCTCACACTACATGTCTCAGTCTACTTCAAAACTACATAGTAGGGCTAAAGAGGAAAAGGGGCTTTTCAGAGGTAAGCCATTTCTGAAAAGCTGAGAACCTGATCCAATTACTAGCTCTGCTGGCTGCCACCACTTAACCTCTGACACCCGGTGCAGAAAATTCATGCACAAAGCAGTGACTATTAAAAGAGCACGGCAACCACGGGGAAAGGAAGAACACCAACCGGCAAAAGCGGAGCTCCCACAGAGCAGGCGCTAAAGGGACAAGTCACTTCAAAAGCATGCCTTTATTCATTCAGTCCTGTTTATCAAGCCCCTACCAGTGCCAGACACCCTAGACACTTACACTGAGGATATAGTAACGAACAGAACTGACAAGGCTCCTTCCCTCATGGAGCTTACATTCCAAGCAAGCTCTACACGAGCGCATGGAGTTTCAATGACCAAATCAATGTCAGGTAGTAATACCTGCTCTGGAGAAAAATAAAAGCAGGTTAAAGGGAAAACAGCTGCTATTTTATACAGGGTCACTTGAGAAAGTCTTTTTTCTATAACATTTAAGCGGAGACTAAAGGTAAAGACATAGGAGGAGGAGCTGTAAGGATGGTGTATTCGTAACAAAGCAGCACAGACTGGGTGACTTAAAGAACAGAAATTTATTATCTCACACATCTAGAGGCTAAAAGTCCAAAATCAAGTTGGTTCCTTCTGAGGTTTCTGAGGAAAGGATCTGTCCCAGGCCACTTTCTTTGGCTTGTAGATAGCCGTCTTCTCCCTGTGTCTCTTCACGTCTTCCATCTATGCATGTTTGTGTCCAAATGTTCTCTTCGTCTAAGAGCGCCAAACACGTTATGGCCTATCTTCACCCAATTACATCTGTGAGGAACTCATCTCCAAAAAGGCCACATTCTTAGGTACTAGGAGTTAGAACTTCAACGTATAAATTTAGGGGGGGACACAATTCAACCAATAACAGATAGGAACATCTTTAACAATTAAGGCTCTAAGCAAAGTTCTGAAAAGACATCCTTTGCAGTAAATATGCTAGCACAGACAAGTGCATTCTTGTGTTTTCCAACAGGTCTGCTTCAGAATCAATCCTTACAGCTTCAAGAACAGGAGAAACTCTTAACAAAGAAAGGTCAGCAAATTTACTTCCACAAATTCTAAGATACTGCTCTTTCCTTGCCCACCTAGAGGCAGGGGGATGGACTACATGACCTATTAGGAGTCTGGTAGGTCAGGGATCTAGGGAAGCATTTCAAGGACTGGTCACTGGCTCTGAGAACACGTCAACTAGTTAGCCTCCTATCCTGAGAGGTATATAAACTGTGAAAAGGATTTTTACTCCCCCTTTAAACATGTCTGTGTTGAACATTTCAATAAATTGATTTTGAACTCAGGATTTCATGTCAATTTTTACACTTGACGTTCCAAATCACATCCAACTTCCCAAGTCTAAATCATGTCGTATGCAACAGTCACCTTGCTCTTGGCCCTTCAGTGTCTGCTGCCTTAGCTTCCTAAGAAGAATTTGTCATGTATATGGAGGGGGCAAAAGCGCCTCATTTATCTACTACTGGCCTTCTGTTTTCTCATCGCAATCACTGGGTAAAATATAAGGCAGAAATTACTATACTCATATGATATGGGTTAGAAAATGAAGATCTATGGTCACACAAATGAAGGACACAGCTAAGACACGAAAACAGAATTTCTGACTCCTAGTCCAGTGCTCTCTTCACAAGACTAAGACTGCCAGGTGGCTGAAAAACCATCCTTAACTACATGAAGATGAATTCTAGGATATGACTGCCATTCTCATGACTGAAATGAGGACAGAAAGTAAAAGAGGTTATATGCTTCAATAAAAGCATCCAGCAAACATACTAGACTAACTAGACAGGATGTGACCTATAACCAAAGAAAGTGGATTAATAAATATTCTCTAGAAGGATCTGGCATTAGACAGGACTAAGGATACAAAGAAAAATAAGATACCAGCCTTGCCCTCTAGGGGCTTAAATTCCAGCTCTCTGTCCAGGCTGAGCAGGGTCCCAATGGGCCTTCTTTAAAAGTCCAGGAAGTCTACACAGAAGCAGGCCTTCCCTTTTTCCCTCCCCTCCCTTTGCTTCGCTCCTGGAGGTTGTCTCTATCACAGGGCTCTTCCTCAGAGGTGTGGGCCTACCTATCACTGAGAATCTGGCTGCTTTTTTAGATCAGGCTTTGCCCGTGAGGAGTCCAAAGCCCTCCCAAAACGAAGTGGAGCCTGAGGGTTCAGGAACCGAGAAAGACTGGGATTTCAGAGACCAGCTGCAAAAGAAGACTTTGCAGCTCCAGGCCAAGGAAAAGGAGGTGAGCTGGTGACCTC